GCCTTTACATATCTTAAATATCTCTCTCCGGTTTCCTTTCCGCGTGCAAGCACAGCAGGTTCACTTAAGGAGGGGTCGGGGTTCAGCCAAACACGCCGATGCAGGACCCCTCCTGGAAAGAGGCCCCCCCACTGCCCCAACCGAGACTTTGCGAACCGTTCCCTGATAAACAAGGGACATTATAATAACAGTAATCGCGGACGATTTAACTCGGAACAAATTGGCCCTGTGCGTAACCGTAGCCATCCGTTACAGGTCCACCGCTGGACGAGGGCCTAACAATTGTGGGGTGCCGTGTTGTTTTACTTCTTTCCCAGGAGTTGCGCGATCCCTCCCAGTCCCACGTGGCCTCATTTCACGGCTTCACAATTTGCCCTTGCTATTTCCTCGTGCCTCCCCCTCCTGCCTTGGTGTGTACCAATGTGAGCAGGGTTTTGTTGGTACCGTATTCTCTGGTTTATAAAGAAACTGGGTGGTTCGTCTTATAATCCGGAAGACGGCGGAGGCTAAATGACAATAATTTTGGCCTAAATCTACCAGTACATTACCAGTCAGGGGAATCGCCAGCCTGCCAGAAGAGACTATCTCTCCCCATCTTATGTATATATGTTGAACTTCTTTCACACGGTACATAGCCATCTGTGCTCATCGGAGGTGCGGTGGAAAGGACAAGAGACTAAACACACAGCGGTTTTAAAGACATGAGTTTTCAATCGAGATTTAAAAGTACATAGCTACAGCAGTCTGTCTGTAATAATCTTCCATAAACCGTCTCTCCTCATATACAAAGCGGCGCATTCATAACCATATTGTGGAATGCTGCTCTTTGTTTTAGTACCGTATGGTCCCACTTTATAAACCAAGGTTATTTTTTCCGCCAGCATCCAATCTAGATTTCACAACTTTACATTTTACACCTCGATTCTCGCTTCCCCAGTATATCATATTTTCCAGATTTCTTCTTTTTCAAAATGGCCCCAAAGTTGGAGGTGGAGAGGGGGCGGCGGTGAGGGGGAGTGGTGGCATTGCGTCTCAATTTTCCGGAGCGTCTCATAAATGCGGAGAGTACGGTTCGCGGCTCGCGTACAATTCACGCCGCTCGTAAATACCTTCAAAGCACACGGCCCTTCTGCTCTGGGTGTGAGCCGTGCGCGTCACGGCAGCTCCGTTGCTCAGGCAGTGGAGCTGAGAGGGACGAGTCTGGTTCACGTCACCCTTTGCCCTTCCGGCGACGTACGCGTGCACGGTAAATAGCGATGGTGTGTGTGCGCACGTCATAAGTTTTTCTCTTCCGATTCCGTTTCCGATGACGTACGCGTGCACGTACGTCACGCCGGAGGGAAAACCGAAATGAAATGACTTCGTCAGTACCGAGGTTCTCTCACACAAGGCCACGCGGGCAGGGCGCGTGGCAAAGTTTGGCGCCGGCTGTCGCAGAGTTGCGGCGGTCGTGTCGCTACGCTTCTGTGTGGTGAGTAACGACGTCTTTTAAAAACAGTGGCGCTGAGAATAAGACGCCTCTCCAAAATCAAATAAACGCCGAGCCGCTTGCGCCTTCCCGAGATCCGGCGGTGGACGGGACACCCCCACGGCCTGCAACCTGCAGGACGTCTCGGAACGGGGAAAAGGGGTTAACGGAGCATTTCATCTCCCCCACTGCTCGTGGTCGTAGGGGACCTCACTTGAAGATGTTTTCTTGTTTTTTTGTTTGTTGCAGGTTGCGCCCGATTCAAGAGCCGAATGGCTCACAGGGCTATACCAAATAAATGAAACTAAAACTAAACTAAACCTCCCCACCGGCATTGGAGAACGCTGGCCTCTGCCAAGGAGTGTTCACATTTCGCCGAACATCGGTAAAAATGCTCCACAGCTGTTTGCACTCGTGGAGACAACACTTGCCCAGATTTCAAGAAAGTTCCCGTGATGTGCGCCGTTGAGACGGAGTTCATGGGAATATTTGGGTCGGTGTTACTTGGCATGTTCTCGCGTGATGTGCAGCGAGAATCGTTATCGATTGTGGTTGCGTGGGAACGCCTTTGCGTTCACACGGCTACAAGATCGTACGCCCATTGGGAACCAGCTCGAACCGTCCGTGCATCCCCGGTGGATATAAAATGACGAGCGCTTCGTGGGAATTTTCTCCTACGGTGAGAGTGACCCCTGCCATAGAAATGTGGAATTTCCATCACTAAATATTTCTGCCTGGCAGAAACCGGGCCGAGAGCGCATCCGAGCGGGAATGGTCGTGTCGGTGAATAGGTGCCGAGCGAGGGTGGTGATGACGCATGGGGGAAATGGGTTTGTACGACCCAAGCGATAGAAACAACTTCTATTGTTCACATCTGTTACTACATCTCCAGCCCCAGGGATTGTTGCGAGGGACGCGTGTAAAACGTACGTGTGCGCATACTCACAACAACCAGAGCTGCTTTTTAACGTTCTCATGGTGACGAACGAGACTGCTCCACCGCATCGTCCCCGCATGCCTCGCACCCCCCGTCATTACGTTATAATCCAGTTATGAATACTGCGCACTGTGGACGGGATTGACAAACCGACCTTTGATGCACTGCCATCTGCTGACTTGGCAAGTCTCTACGATTCACTCGCCTCCTAGATGCAGCTCAAGATAAACATGACGCGAAATCAACCGTAGAGTTGGGATTGTCCTATATTTTATGAAGTAGAGTAATCAATTACCCTCCTGATTGCCGACGATATTACTCGGCTAATCGGATAACATTTGGGGGGAAAAAAGTGGAACGTCTGTTGGCACGTGTGCCCCTGGATGAAATGTGATGTGGGCGGGGCTTGGTGACATCATTGACACAATCAGCCAAGTAAAACTGGGTGTGGCTTGTGCAGGGGGGTTTCCAGCCTTCGGGAGGGTGTATGTCCGTACGTTGACCTTCTTTCGCACTGCACGTAGCCGATCTTGCTAATCGGAGGTGCGGGGGTGGAAAGGAGAACAAACTAAACACAAAGAGAAGGCGGCGGGGGGAGGCGTGATATCTGGGCGGCCACTGTTTTTTTAAAGGGTCGCAACGCATCGGTATCGCTCGCGCCTCACAGCAACAAGCACCCGGGTTCGTTTCCTGACTCGGGTGCCATTGCGTGTGGGGCTTGTGCGTTCTCACCCCGTTCTACACATGGGTTTTCCTCTGAGATCCCCGGTCTTTCCTCCCATGGCTAAAAGCTTAAAAAGAAATTGGTATCATTGGACCAAGCATCCACAAATGCTGACAAAGTTCACCTGCAAATGACTGAAGCGGGATTACGCATTGCAGCATCGCACCATCGCAAATGTGCGATCCTAACAACAATGAACATTTAAATAACAAGCCGCACGAACAGATTATCGCAGATAATAAGACGTGCACGCTGTCAGGTTATGCTAGCCCAGGGGTCGGCAGCCCGCGACCCCGGAGCCTCATGCGGCCCTTTGAAGGACTACTTTCGTGACGTTATTTAACAAGGGCCCACCGTCTCGTATTCACGCCGTGACTGCGGCTCTTGTCGTATTTATTTTGCTGTATAGCTAATTGAAAGAAAAAAAAAATGGCTCCTTGTTATTTTGGTCTGCCGACCGCTGTTGCGAACCAATGTGAACCTCCTAACACGGGGACTGGCTGTCCTGGCTATTTCACATTTAAAAAAAAAATACTGCAATACTGCAACGTGGAAACGATAGTGGGGGGGGGGGGGCAGGGTGGAGGTTTGGGGGTGAAACCTTCCTAGGGGGGGGGAGGGGGGGGACCCTCGCTGGAGATGCCCTGGCTGAGCACGCGAACGCTGGCACCGCCCGCTCCTTACGTAACGCAGCGGTTGCCATTTCCGCGAAAAAATTGTGGAATTCCACGTGGCTCAATTCAAATCGCAGGGCAGGCCCACGGTCCAACATTGAGGAACTTTTGGTAAGAAGGAAAAGGAAAAGCCCATTGCCACAATTGCAATTTCACTTAAATATTGTGACGATCCGATATTTGAGATGCAGATTTTAGATGATAACCAGGCGAAGGTGTTTGGATAGTTTTCGTAACGGGCTACTTTGTACCTCTCGCTCCGCGAGCCACGGGGCCCCTCCTGTTCCGCGTGGCCCCCCACCAGGTAGGGGGGGCCCTGGGGGTGCCCTCCCCAACCACGTCCGAGAGCCGTGGGGGGGTGGGGGGGGGGAGCCACCGTCGATGTTTGAGAGTCACGACCGAGACCTCACCTTCATGCCATCGGGTCGTTTGCGGGGAACCTCAAGCAACGACTCGGTGCGATCTCTTCACCCGAATTGCACAGTCTTGTCTTGTCTGGTGCATTCTGAGCTTATTTGTATTTTTCTGGAGTGTTGACATTTTCACGCGAACGGCGCTCGGTGGTCCTTGGGTGAAAAGGCGGCGTTATAAAAACACAAGTTGTCACCGTTGCCGTTTGTTGGTAGAGTTGCGACGTTAACATGTGGCGCAACGATGGGGATATGGCTCACCGCATGCTCGCGAGTCGTTTTTGCTTCCTGTCAACATCATGGCATTGCCTGGCGATCGAATGAGAGTATGTATGTGTGTGTGTTTCAATGTTGACCTTTTTTCCACACTATGTAGCCAACCGTGCTAAGAGGAGGTTGAAACTTTTTATTTTATCTTACCAGGTAAGGCCTGCTGAGCCGTATAGCTCTTTTTCATAAGCGACCTGGCTGTCAAAAATGATAGCTCAATGATGTGGAAATTTATAGCAGCCAAATGCTCTAAACGACGTGATGTTGATTCTAAAACGTGGAGGGAACAACCGGAGGACCCGGACAAAAATCCACGCGAACATCGGGGAGAGAGACACGCGAACTCCAAATATACAGCAGCAGGCGTTGGGGGTCGGGATCGAACCCACGACCTCCTGTATACCAGGCGAGGTGTTTAACCTCCCGACCTGTGGACACGGGAGTGGGCGTATTCATGGAGCGACGGACGATGATGACGAATGTCGCTTGTTGTTTTGCGTGCGCGCTGCCGTCGCAGGCATGTGCGTCAAGTGCAACAAGGGGGTGTACGGCTCCAGCCAGGCGTGCCAAGCCATGGGCAACCTCTACCACACGTCATGCTTCACGTGCAGCTCCTGCGGTAAGCCGCCCCCCACCCACCGCCCACTGCTGCCCACCCCACAGCGCCGCCCCCCCTCCCCCCACCGCCCCCCCCCCCCCCCCCCCCCCCCCCCCCACCACCACACCGCACAGCGTCGCCGACGTTGCCTCGGAGAGCGATGGCGACGTGCCGCTTTTCCCGGCACGTGTGCCTTTTTGAGATTGTTTTCTTTTTCTTGGGAGGGAGGGGGGAGAGCCATCGTCCGGCTGTGGATTTACAGAGGGCTGTCGTTATTATTTTTCTCAAGTGATAAATAGGCGCGTGGCGCGCATCCTCCGAGCACCGTTGTCAGTCTTCGCGTTGTCGCGTGATGAATGAGGAGGGGTGCGCACGAGCGAGATCCCTCCCCGCCCTCGTTCACGCATGCACGTACGCACGTTGGACTTCTTTCGCACCCTACGTAGCCGACCGTGCTAATCGGAGGTGCGGTGGGAGGGGGCGGGGGTCAGGACAAGAAAACGTAGGTATCGTGTGTCTGTTCCCATTCACTCGCTAAACCCCATGGTATCAGAGAGTTCGCCTGAAGGCACCGCTGCGTGAACAGGCTACGGGCTCGGTGTCATTGCCCGAGGCTCCAGACGGGCAGACGAAGGCCGCCACCATTCAAGGAGAATTCGTTCGGATCGGCTTCAACGCTTGTCCCTTCAGAGCTCCCATTTCAGAGGGCATCGGCACGTTACTTTTTTGTTGTTGTTGTTCATTGTGCTGAAACAATTCGTCACATTTCAAGGAAGTTTTTTTTAACAGGGGACCTTAAATAAACGACAGGTTTTTTTTTACAGTTATTGTTTGTGAATCGCACGGTCTTTTATTCCAACTTCTGAAATCCCGTCAGAAGGGGGGGGGGGGGGTAAAGGAGCGTGTTTGCGCGGAACTTTTTCTCGGCATTCGCCTCGCGCCGAACTCTGGCCGCCAAAAAAAAAAAAGGTGCTCGGCCCCGTTTGCGACTTCCGTTCGATCGGGCCGCTTTTTTTTCTAAATGCGACCGTCAAAACATTTCACGGGCCTCCATCGTGCAAAAAAAAAAACTCAGACCGTTGAAACCTTTGAAAGTTTTTTTAAAAGAAACAACAAAAAAACCAGCATTGTGAGCCGATTTAGTCGAGAATACCGCACACAGCATTTTCAGCCGCACTTTTCTAGAAAAACTAGTTTTGTGTTTGGGGATGAGGGCTGGGGATGAGGGGGAAGGGATGGGCAACCTCAGAGCGCTCAAATCCCTCCTGACGGGATGCAGGTCGAGCGACTATGCTCACTATTTATGCGTCTATATGTTTTACTTGGTAAGGCCCCACTGAGATGCTCTATGTAAGCTCTAGTTTCAGAAGCGACCTGGCCATCACAAATGTGTGGACATTGATCGCAGCCAAGTACTCTAAACGCGTGTCGTTGATTCTAAAATGTGGAGGGGGAAATTCGGAGGACCCGAAGAAAAATCCATGCGAGCACGGGGAGAGAGAGAAAGAGAGACGCAGACTCCAAATATACAACACGTGTTGGGGTCTGGATCAAACCCACGACCTCCTGCATACCAGGCGAGGGAGCTCACATCTCGCCACCGGGGCGCCCTGCACATTACGGAGATCAAGGGAGGAGGATGCTGTGAGTGAAAGGAACTCCCCGAGGCCACCAAATCGCTTGGCACGTTTTCATTCTTTCTCTTCTCTGTGAGGAACGCCCTCCTCCTCCTCTGTGGGGTTTTTTTTGTTTCACGTTGCACCGCGCGCGAGAGCGAACGGACGCGTCGTGGCGACTCGTCGATTGGCAGCGAATGTGGACCCCCTTCACGGAACGCACGGACTGGGGTGGGTGGTGGGGGGGGGGAATTGGCAAGGGACTGCACAGTGCAAATTCGACGGGCACGAAGCACCGACCGGAGCATCGACCACACAAGCGGTGAACCAATTGTGAACTCCAAAAAAATTATACCGAGGCATTGGAGCAATCCGTCGCACATTTTGTTTCGGTGTTACGCAAGGCAAGCAGGGGGGCGGTGGAGGGGGGTGGGGGGGGGCAGCTCACTGAGAAGTCCACGGGAGTGGGCACCCATTGTGGTCGGTGACCTCAAGAGAAGATGCACGGATTGCTGTAATTGGAGCAAAAGACTCGACACATTCATCAGCAACACTGACCTTAAACAGAAACCGCACACACATTTCTAATGATGAAGAGAGACACTGGCCGAAACGTCGGCCATTATATAGTTTTTTTTATAAGGCCTCAATGTTGTTATAGACGAATTTGTTGAGTTTTTCTGTTGTGTTAATTGTGCTTGTGCAATACTCACAACGCAGACGCGTCGCCAACTAATGTATGTTGTAAAAGCAGTCCATGGGAGGTTACACATTGATTTTGCAAGTCCAACAAATTCTGAAAACCTTTGCCAACTTCCTAAACCTTGAGTCGTGGCACGTTCCCATGGGAAATTAGCACAGCGTGTTCTCTTTATATTAAAGACGTCGCCTGTCTTATTGAAACTCGGAATACTTGGTCAGAGAGAGCCTTTCCCTTGATGGTGGGAGGATTCCTAGCATACTCTAAATAATTATTTAACGATCTATAAAGTACCATGCATATGTATGTTAAACATCTTTCGCACCGTACGTAGCCAACTGCACTAATCGGAGGTGCGGGAGGGATAGTACAAGGAACGAAACGCACAGAAAATATATGCACCACAGTCAAATTCCATAATCAACACCTACCACATTCGATTCACATTTATTTCCTATTTCGTTTTATAAATACAATCTTAATTGGTGAAACACCGGGCGATGTTTCCGGTTCCTTGAAGAGGTTATGCCGGGGTTTGACCGCATCGTTTTTATTGTGGCAACCGAAATAAAAAAAAAACACATTTTGGGGTTTCTGTGTCACGTTTTCTCCCCCCACTCTTGGTAACAACCTCGCACGTGTTCTGATTTTTCGTTTGATTCAGGTCGGACACTCCGGGGAAAGGCCTTCTACAACGTGACTGGAAAAATATACTGCGAGGAAGACTATCTGGTAAGAACACATGTAGAATCAACGTGCTCTTTGGAGTATTTGGCAGCTCTAAATGTCCACATATGATAGACCACTTCGTTGAGCTCTCATTTGTGGCTCGGTCGCTTATGAACAAGAGCTACATAGCTCAGAGGGCTTTAACTGGTAAAATAAACAATAGTTATGCAGTGGCAGGGTTATTCGATTATCACAATCGTAAAATATTGGATCCATTTTGTCTGTGTTGATGATGGGGGGGGGGGGTGGGGGGTGTTGTTTGATCATACTTCCCCACGCCGGTCAATGCGGGTTGGCGAATCGGTGGGTGGGGACCGGTTCAGATATCCCTCACCCGCCGCCGATGTTACAGACATGGCCGAGAGTCAAACCCAGGTCACACCGGGTTCACAGGTTCGGCGTGCCACAACCGCCTTAGGTTTGCCACTGCTCGACGCAGTCAGGATCACGCCGGGTATTATTTGACGCGCGAGACACGCTTTTGCCGTGTCTTCCCCCTTTCGACAAATCGGTTTCTGTCTGACGGGGGAAGTGAGCAATCCGCGGGGGCGTCGAGGGCGGGGAAGGGATGCGCGGCCGGAGAGGGGAAAACGACGCGTGTGCAGCCCGGGCGGGAGATAAAACTGGCACGTGCCGTCATCGCGGAGGAGGTGGGCAGGCATCGACGCGGGAGGATGTGAGAACACTGCGGTGGCGAAGGAAGCACGTCGCCTGAAACCCCTTTCCCATGCAGAGACGCCTCCCGTTCGCCGCCGAATCTGGGGAACGCGCGAGCGGTTCGGCGTTACATGTTATCACGAGCGAGGCGTAGCAGCGCCATTGTTTTTAAAGACACCGCGGAGAACTTTAGCGACGTAACCGCACCACCACCGCCGCCCCCAGACACGGCCACTTAGTAAGGGTTTGTCACGTGAACAAAATGTACTTTTTAGTTTGAGTACTGCGACGTTTCTCTGGTGACTACAACCAGCCTCATCAGGTGTATTTGCCAGAATTGTTAAGAAGTATTCCTCTTTCCGGTCTTAAATTGAGTAAGGTGATGGTATCGCATTACTCTATTTAATGTCATCACCTTACTCTTTTACATCTGACACCGTGACGTCGAAGCGCGTGGCCCCCCAATGCGGGGGGCCCGGGGCAGTTGCCCCGATTTGCCGCCCACCCTAGGGACGGCTCTGCCTGTACTATTATCATAATTACGAAATCTGGCTGGGTGGTGCACCGGAGGCTGCGATCGAAATCCAGGTCAGAGGTCGACTCATCCCTCTGGCCGCTTAATTGCGTACGTTGACAACGATCCTCGTGCGGATGGACCGCCTCCCACACACAACGGGGATGTGGAACTTCTGTCGCTGACCCAGGGCTGTAAAACCGGAAACGGGTGCTGGTCTCCCGTGTCGCCCAGCGACACGGGTCGCCCAGCGACACGGGAGACCGCGTCGACTCGCCGTTTTGTAGTTGAACGATCTCCTTGTGCTTCATTCCCACAGTATTCGGGCTTCCAGCAGAGCGCGGAAAAGTGCTACGGCTGCGGACACCTCATCATGGAGATGGTACGCGGGGCGCGGGGCCTCGGTCGCCGGTGTACTGCTCCTCGTAGCGAGCAACCGCCACCCCCCCGCGGGATAAAGGCCTCCCCAACACGCGTCTTGGCCGCGGGAAATGTTATGACCGCCAGTGCGGGTTAGTGAAGCCGGTACCCAGGATCGGTTTAGATTGTCACTGGCAAAGGCCCCTTTGAGCCAAGCAGCTCCGCAACAAGGGACGACCGCAGCCCAAGGCAGTGCCGGCAGTGGCAGGCAGCCGCAGGACGTTGCGCTCACGTCCGTTACCGCTGCGGTTGCCCCGTGCACGCGAGCCCTCTGATCTGCCACTCTCTCTCGGCCCCCTCTTGTTCACCGCGCCACCGTCTCGCGCTCATCTGCGCTGTCCTCATGCCTCGGCAAAAGCGGCCACCCACTCCCTCGGTTAAACCGCGTCTCTCTCGGCCGGCCTGGCGGGGGGCCGTGGCTTCGGCGGGTCAATCGGAAAGCCTCTAGCGGCCCCCGCGTGCTGCTGTGCGGCGCAGCGTGCCCCCGCAGTGATGTAACGGGAGCTCTGCGTCTCCTCCTCCTGCCCGTCCTCTCAGATCCTGCAGGCGCTGGGGCGGTCGTACCACCCGGGCTGCTTCCGCTGCGTGGTCTGCAACAAGTGCCTGGACGGCGTTCCCTTCACCGTGGACGTGGAGAACAAGATCTACTGCGTGCGCGACTACCACAAGTACCGTCGCACGGCACCGCTCGCTCGCTCGCACGCACGCACAAAGACAAAGATCCCCCGTATAGCCTGAACAGACTTTTGGGGCAAGTGCTGTTAGTGAGTAGCACCTATGAAGACCGGCACGGCACTATGAGGGGGTGGGTGGCCAGCACCACGCCCTTTGTCTCCCAAGTGGCGATGTTTTTTTACACACCACACCAGGTATTCACTTGAAGCTGAGTCGACATATGGGAGGTACAGGACTGGTTCAGATAACCGTCATTGGTGTTGGCCATGCGCGGGAATGGAACTAAGAGTTCGTAGCGCAGCGCGTTAACCGCTCCACTACCGCTCCCCCACACAAAGACAAGGACAAAGATCCGCCATATAGCCTGAACAGACTTTTGGGGCAAGTGTTGTTAGCACACACCTATGAAGGTCTGGCCAGCACCACGCCCGGCCGCCTTTGTCTCCCCTAGGGTTGTTGAACGGTGACCGGTAAAGTCAACGACCGAGGGGGCGGGTGATCGATTTCAGCGGGAATTTTTTTTAAAGTAAAGAATAACGCCGATTGGTGGACTGCAGCTGGGCTGCCCTAAGCCTCCGCGTGGTACAATTGGCCCCCATTTCTTGGTTATTAAAAAAAAATGGTTGTTAAAAAATATATATATATAAAGAACGTCACAAAACTATTGCCGGACGTTCTTTTCGAATGCGTAAACGACGAGGGGGACAGAAAAAATCCCAATCGTAACGGCAAAATAATAGAGGCCGGGAAAAATACCAAGCTTCGAATGACGTGCGAGAGGCACTCGGCCTCCTGTGCATTATGCGGAACAAGCATCAGCAGTTGTCCTGCGCTGTGGTCCTCTCGTCTTTTAAAAACAAAATCACCGACCCCCTTTGAATGCTTCCCATTTTGTTCGTGCGGTTAGCGGTAGTGCAGAATCAACGATGTTAGCCGCCACGACCGAGGTGCGCGCGTTCACGCGGGGGGAAGGGGAACGTAGGGCCCGGAGCTCATCGTCGCGTATGCTCGGTGCGGTCTCGTTATGTATCTTATATTTTATATATATGTGTAATGTGTTTTTATTTAGGCACGCACACAAGTCCGGTACAACGCGCTGGGGGTGTCAGGGGGAGGTGGGGGGGGGGCGGACAGAAAAACCGTGAGAGTAAAGGGTGGGGGGGGGGGGAAGCTTTCCGGCGCTTGCAACAGATCTAGGGATGGCGAGGGAAACTAAATAATTCTCAGCGCCCCCACCCAGAGGGGGATCCTCCGGGGGGGGGGGTGGGGGGGGGGCGGTGGTGGGCTCGGGGGGGGGGGGGCGGGCCGGCGGGCGGGGGGGCCAAGTAGGAAGGAGTTTTAGCGGCGTGCGGTCGTGTCGTTGTTAACGACTTCAAAGGATTGGGAATGCCCGGTGAGAAAATTGTCTATCAAATTGTCTATCAAATTGTCTATCAAATTGTCTATCAAATTGTCTATCGTTCCGCGGTTCCCCCGGAAACGTGGCGCGGTGGCCGGTGCACCGCACTTGGGTGAGGGGGGGGCTAACATCGGTGGCAAAGTGATTTCTGAACAGGTCTTGAAACCCCGCTCCCACTTTGCCTCCCTGCACTCACAGGCATTGTAACGGAGTGCAGTGAAACAACCTCCATGATGGGCATATGCAAAGGCGTTCGGAGGCATTCATCCAAGCAGTGGATTGGCAAACGGGCCGTGTCTGTCTGATGCAAGCCGGCGTTGCATAGATATATATATACACGCACGCTCACACGGCCTTATGTCCCATAGGAGATGAATAGTATTGACTAACTCCACGCGGTGTTGTGTGCCATCACAGATGAGAAGCGTAAACGATACGAGTTAAACTAATTATTTGGCAGGGCTGCTGCTGCTGCGTTTGGCAGTCCGGTGCACAAGCACACATAAAAGCCAACTCAACACATTCGTCAATAACAGGGCCCATGAAGCAGGGCCATTGCCCGCGACGTCGCCTGTCTTTTATATATATGTAGAGTTTTTTTTTTTTTTTTAAAAATGCTACACAGTGTTGTTATTGACGAATGTCGAGGGTGGTTTTTTTTTTTTGCTTCGTTTCTGACAAAAGGACGCTTCCAGCAGCGAAAGATGCAAGAATGTGGTTGGGCCGAAAAACTGTCTTTTCTCCCCGAAGCTCTCAGGAATGCGTTTGTAACCGATCCGCTGGGGCTGCTTGAGAGTGGAATCTCACCCACCCTCAAGTGGCCTTCAGCTCTCCTCACCTTCACAATGGGAGGCCCAACTCCCCATCCCCAAGTGCAGTGGTGGGCGGCTCCATATCCACCCCCCACCCACCCACCCATCCCCTATTGTCATGGTGCAGGTGCAAGGTGGTTTATCCCGCCCCCCACCACCAATGTTAATTACTTTCAATACGTTACAGGTGGTTCTACCGTGCGTTCGCGATAACGGTGTTGTGCGTACGATATATGTCACCTGGTAACGGTGACGTCGACGGCAGAGCGTCCGTTACCCGGTTCGCAATCGGAAGGTCTGAGAATTTAAAATCCAGGTTGGAGGTTGACTCAGCCCATCATCGCTCCGGGAGAGGGGTCGATAAAACGAGTACCGCTTTGTGCCGGCCGCATGCTTACGAGAGAGGCTGGAGACGAAGATTTGCTCCTCGTTTTGGTTCGTGATGCTGGACCGTGCTTCGCCTTGGCTCACGGTGTTACGGCTTTCTGTCTCCCCCCACAGGATGTTTGCTCCGAGGTGCAACGCCTGTGGCCAGCCCATCCTGCCAGCCCAGGTAAACTAACCGATAGTTCAAAAGATAACAATAATCCAAATTACACTTATAAATTCTAGATTTAAAGCTTTCGTGACTGCTAGGATCCATACTCTTTGGTTCTATTGGGTAAAGTCACTCCAGCGCTGTCCTCCTGACAGTCTCGTCCCTTCACCTGATGAAGGCCGCTTGTGTTGTGGCCGAAACGTCGTGATTTTTTGTTATTTTATTTTCACCTACGTGACTTTACCCAATAGAACCAAAGAGTATACACTTATAAAGTTCCTTTCTACAAGGCGCCATAGTGTCACGTATAAATAAATAGCTCGTTGGACAAGGGGAGGAAGAAATTTAGATGACGAAAGGATGTTAATCGAGGGAGCGGAGAGCGAGAGAGAGAGAAACGCAGAAGTCGGCAACCTGCGGATCCAGAGCAACAAAACCCAACGCAAAAAGCAGTTCCAAAGAAATGAGTTTGTCAGTCTAGATCAGTGGTTCTTAGTCTGGGGTGCACGCACCCCCTGGAGGTGCGAGATGCCCTTTCTGAGAACCAAAGGGGGGTGCAGGCTGCAGTCAAGGTTATGAACCACTGATTTAGATTATTTAAAAGTGCGTAGCTCCAGTGGCTTCCTAATATCGGAAGGAAAGAGCGTTCCAGACGGACGCAGAAGCGCATCTGAAAGCGCGAGATGCAAGTATGTTTTTGCTGGCCCTTTGAGCATGCTCACCACAAGTATGTGACATGGTTCCTTGCAAAAGGTTTATATTTGGTGTTTAAACATCTTAACACCTGTATTATTTCCAGAAAGGGTCAAACCTATGATTTTTTCATTATTTAAAATGTTACAATTTTTTTTAAGTTATTCACGCACATTGGTGGCTCTTGAAATATAGAAAAAAGAAAATTGGGTTTTACTGAATTCGAAAAAAATGCCCCTTTTTATTTTGTTTGCCGACCCGTGGAGTTGACACTGTGACTGTCTGCAAATTCAGAATATCACTGAGCCTATTCTTGGTTCTTTCTGTAAAGTCACGTGATGATAATTGCTTGTGTTGCAGTCGAAACGTCGTGAGAATTTTATTGTTTTATATTTCTATTATTTTATTGTTTCCCTTGTACGTGACTTTACCGAAAGAACCAGGAATATGAATCCCTGCAGTCACGAAAGCTTTAAATCAAAAATCACTGAGCCTGGTATTCCCCTTGTTGGTAGCACATGAAGGTCGTGAGGCTCAGCGGCGTGTGCGGCGGCGTCTGTGTGTGTGTTGATATTCAGCGATTGCCGCAGCAGTTACCGCAGTGCGCTTCGAACCTGCCGACCCGAGTTCGATTCCGGCTCACGGTCAACACCAGTGACAAGGTTATCTGAACCGGTCCTGGGCCTCAACCCCGGTTGACTCGGCCTAAAATGAGTACCCGGTGCGATGTGTAAACCTCGCCACTGGCGAGACAAAGGCGGCCGGGCGTGGTGCTGGCCACCCGCCGCCATCGTAGGTTGCTTCTTGCGGTCTGTTAAGGCGACACGGGGGGGTATCTTTGTTATTGTTTATTCAAGGTCTCTTAACTCTCGGTGATTTTTTTCGAAAAGGCCGTTTAGTTTGTGAACGTGTGCCTGCTCCTTGTCGTGTTGGCCCAGGACACTGAAGAAACCATTCGAGTCGTGTCCATGGACAACGATTACCACGTGGAGTGCTACCACTGTGAAGTAAGTGGAGTCTCCGTTGCCCTCGAAGTTTCACCACGGGTTCACTCGTGGATTCGCTTAAACCCAGGCAGTTGTAACCCCTTTTCGCCTGATGGATGTACGTACGCACGTTGAGCCTCTGTCGCACCGGACGACGATGTTACATTCACACGGCAAGTGACGTAACGTCACTGTTCCTACGCGCGTATCGTCGCGTCTGTACGCTCGTTTGTTTCCAGCTTGCACGTATGTGTGTGTGTGTGTATGTATGTACGCATGTTGAACTGCTTTCACACCGTACGTAGCCAACCCCGCTAACCGGAGGCGCGGAAAAGTTTGTGTAAAGGTTATCGAGCAACTTTTCGCAAGCGTTACGAGTTGTTTTTTTTTAGTTCACTTATCGGTGCATTACCCCCCGTGCGTTGGCGTGTCGTCAATGCGTTTGCGCGCTCCGCCGACTTTCAAAGAGAATATACAGGCCGCTTAAAAAAAAAAACGTTAACACTTAAATGGCACTAGCGCTTTAAATGGAAAAAGAACGGATAAGGCACTGTAACATGATAACAAATGTATGTTAATAGCTTCAAAAACGTCATCAGAGAGTCCCCACTTGTTGTCAACACACGTGGCCTGGAATCTTCTCCAGGTGGTCTCCAGAGTCCGGAGGCAGCAGCACATGTCACGTGGTATTGTTGCAAATTCACCGGCAAGGATTGCGGTTTAAGTTTGGCCACTTGCGGTAGAGGAAGACAAGTTCCCATAACATCTGGCAGGGACGCAGTATCCTGCATCCTTTCAATTAATGTTCATCGTAAGGTTTCCACCTTGCGTGCTGTCCGAGCGATGGAACGATTTGTTTACGACGCTCGTCTGAACTTACTAGACGACGTTTAAAGCGTTAGTTTTAAGCGAGCCTGAATCTGCCAATGGGACTGAATAATAATAATAATGTTAAATTCAACTCTTCACGGGCAGCACGGTATTGGCTCACTCTGGAAGGGAGAGGCGCGCGGGACCACAAACGAGCGTGAAGGCAGCTAGACAGTGAGCCGGCACTACTGACGGTTGCCCAAGGTCTGCGGTCCTCCATATACTAAGACCTTTCAGCCAGTCAATGAGTTTTTGACATGTTGAAACTAGTCCAGAGTTAATGCTCGTATTAAACCAACGCTGCTGCTGAGGAAATTCCGCTCTCGCAGGCCTGTGCGGGTAATGGCACGTAAAAAAAAGATCCCCTTTTACTTTTTTTTTAGATGGAAGGACGAAAGTGGCTAAGGGTGGGGGTGGGGGGGGGGCATTGTCTGTTTTGTGGCGTTTGAAAAGGGCCGCGCGTGAGTAATCGAGAGTGAGAGACACAAAGCCGGGTCTCGCGATGAGAGACGTTTCGCTAATCGCAGAATGCACAGAGGCGCAGGTGCGAGCGAGCGTTTCGAGGAGGTGTGGCTGTGGTTCTGGAGCGGGGGGGGGGGGGGGAGCGGTGGCGCAGCGGTTAGCGCGCTGCGGCACGAACCCCTGGCGGCCCGGTGTTAGATTCACGCTCACAAACCGGTCCTGGGCCTCCCCTAGGTAGACTCAGCTTCAAATGAGTACCTGGCACAGTGTGTAAACATCGCCACTAGAGGGAGACAAAGGCGGCCAGGTGTGACGCTGGCCACCCATCCCCTCGTGTGCCGTGCCAGCCTTCATAGGTGTAAATCGCTTAACAGCACTTGCCCCAACCGCCTGTTAAAGGCTATACGGGGGTCCCCTGCCTTTGTGGTTCTGGAGCCGGGGCGATTTGTAGAAATGTTTGCTTTGGGCCGCACAACAAACGTCGTTTGACTTGCTGGTGAACGTGCGCGTGTTGTTGCGTGTATTGTGTGTGTTGTTGTGTGTATTGTTGTGTGTATTGTACTCTTGTGTGTATTGTACTCTTGTGTGTATTGTTGTGTGTATTGTGTGTATTGTTGTGTGTATTGTGTGTATTGGTGTGTGTATTGTGTGTATTGTTGTGTGTATTGTTGTGTGTATTGTGTGTATTGTTGTGTGTGTTGTGTGTATTGTGTGTATTGTTGTGTGTATTGTGTGTATTGTTGTGTGTATTGTTGTGTGTATTGTACTCTTGTGTGTATTGTTGAAGGTGCGTGTTGTTGTGTGTATTGTTGTGTGTATTGTGTGTGTTGTTGTGTGTATTGTGTGTATTGTTGTGTGTATTGTGTGTATTGTTGTGTGTATTATCGCGTGTATTGTACTCTTGTGTGTATTGTTGTGTGTATTGTGTGTATTGTTGTGTGTATTGTGTGTATTGTTGTGTGTATTGTTGTGTGTATTGTTGTGTGTATTGTTGTGTGTATTGTGTGTATTGTTGTGTGTATTGTTGTGTGTATTGTGTGTATTGTGTGTATTGTTGTGTGTATTGTGTGTATTGTTGTGTGTATTGTGTGTATTATCGCGTGTATTGTACTCTTGTGTGTATTGTTGAAGGTGCGTGTTGTTGCGTCCTCCCGTTGCTGCGCTTGCAGGTGCGAAGGTTTTTTTTTCCGGGTCGCCCTCTTGATAGGCGCGCGCTGTAGCTGCAGTTTGTAGTCGGGGACGCGGCCGTCTCATTTCCGTGCAGGCATTCGGTTTGCGATGATGAAAGCGGCCGCCGCCGCTGCCGCCGTCATCGTCGTCGTTTATCCAGGGGATCTGTGGGAGCTGCCCAAACGCGCCCAACGCCCCAACATTCTCCCCATTCCGTTTGCCCAGCCCCACGACCCCCCGCCCGCCCGCCCCCCTTTTGTTTGCCGGCCGTTTGCTCCTCAAAGTAACGAGGAATGGAAGGGGCCTTGGCGTTCTAGCGGCAACCGGGCGTTCGTTTTGTTTCAAATCGATTTCCCGCAACCCGTGTTTGAGAGAGCTGCCGAACACTTATTGAAAAACATTTTTTTTCATAAAAAATAAAAAAAATATGTATGTTTACTTGTTCAGAAAAAAAAGTCATTTTTGCAAGGGACAAGTTTTTGCCGATCGGTAACGTTACGACTAACGAGTGGATTTCGCGCTCGCACCGTGTGGGATTTAGCGAAGGGCTGGATTCGGCCACGCATAGCGACGTGTTGAGCTATAACGTGCTCGCAAAATGGTTTGCGGAAAGTAAACTGAACTATTTTTTATTTGACCAGGTAAGGCACATCAAGCTATGCAGCTCTTTTTACACGCTTTTTTATAACTCACTCTGTCTGTTGTTGTATCCTCAAATCTTGTAACTCAATTTTAACCCACTTCCCAATGTGGTATCGACTACAAACTTGGTATACTTATGTCATACCGATGACAATACTATATTCTATCATGAAAACATATATATTTTTAAACATTTTTTTCTATGTTATGTTTCGGCTTGGGTCTAATTGTCCACGCTCAACTGACGTTGGCTGTAATTGACCACGGTCCCCTTACGCTGTGGCAAGCTTCGGGGCCACTTCCTGGAGTCGTGGAGTTCTTCCATTACTAGTACATTTCATAAAAAAAAGGTTTTAAAAATATTACTTATTCAGAAACGACTTGGCAACAAATGCTAGCTGAACGGAAGAGGCTTATCACCATGTGGAAATTTATAGCAGCCAAATACTCGAAACGTGTGTTGATTCTAAATACAGTAAAACCTTGGATTGCGAGTAACTTGGTCTGCGAGTGTTTTGCAAGATGAGCAGAAATTTAAAATAAATATTAATTTGATAAACGAGCGAAGTCTTGCAATACGAGTAGTACGTATACGCTTTGTCTGCCGAGCGTCACGTGATCACAACTGATATACGAGTGCTTTGATATACGAGCGCTTTGGATTACAAACACGTTTCCGGAACGAATTATGCTCGCAATCCAAGGTTTTACTGTATGTTGAGGAGTCGGAGACAAATCTGCGCAACCACGGGGCGAGAGAATGTGCAAACTACAAATATACAGGCATCCGGGTCAGGATCGAACCCACAATTTCCTGTATACCAGGCGAGGTAGTCAACATCAATGTATGCACATTGAACTTCTTTTGCACCGTACCTAGCCAACCGTGTTACTCGGAGGTGCGGGGGAAGGACAACAAACTAAACACAAAAAAGCAGTTCTCAAGAAATTAGTTTTCAATCTAGATTTAAAAGTACACAGCTCCAGTGGCTTCCTAATATCAGAAGGAAGAGTGTTCCAGACGGCCGCAAGAAGCGCATCTGAAAGCGTGCGATGCGGTGACGACCGTCTTTGTTCGATGGCCAGCCAACAGCTGCTGCTGCTGCGAGGATGATGACCGTAGTTTGCATGGCTATAGAAACCTACCAGGGGGAAAGCGAAGGACACGTTTCATTCTCGCCAAGACGCGCCCCGTCCAAGCCCGCTTTTCTCACCGGAATGTCTCCGATTCGCATTTGTCCTCCGACCCACATTTTCCTCTTTTTGCCTTTTCCGTATAATTCCAGCGTGCTTCGCTCCACCCTCCTTTGCACACCTCTTGCGTGCGCATGTAGCGCCGCGTGCCGCACACGCTTCGCCGCGCGTTCACGCGTCGTGTGTGTGTGTGTGACCGTAGGACTGCAGCCTGCAGCTGAGCGACGAGGAGGGGCACCGCTGCTACCCGTTGGACGGGCGGCTGCTGTGCCACGGCTGCCACCTGAAGCGCCTGCGTGGGCAGACGGAGCTCCGTGCCACCATCCACTGAGCGCCGCCACCTCCCCGCACGGCCACCCGAGACTGCCGGGACGCAGCTCCCCGTCGCTTCCTCCGTTTACGCGTTCACCGAAACCCCCGACCCCCCCTTCCCCGAGATCCCGGGTCCGCCGGACGGCGAGCGTATCGCAAATGCGCTGCCGCTGAAGCTGAAGCGTCCGGGAAGCAGAGACGATTTGTAAGGGCCAGACTCCACGAGGTGGTTTGGGGGGGGCCCCTCCTGCAACCGGATGTTTCGCAGGCCCCACGGGGAGCCGCGTAGCAAGCCGGGCTCGCGAGGCAGTCCGCTAGCGAGGGCCACGGCCGCTCTCTCGCACCGCGACAGCAGCGACGGCGACGATTGGCCGGCGGGGGGCCGCCGTTGAGGTTTTCGGAAACCCCGCCGGTCCCACCGTGCATCCTGAGGCTCGGGAGAGTTGGCGCGGAGGTGTAAGCGGCGCGACCATCGAGGGCGCGATGCGGAGTGGCGCGCACGCGAGCGGGCCGTCGTGCGTGGGTGGCCGTGTCGGCACGTTCGATGTCTTAAACGCGCCGAAGCGGGACCGCCGTCGCTGCAGTTGCCGTCGGGGAGCAACAGCAGCAGCTGGGCTGACGCTGCGGTACCACTCCCCCCCCCCCCCCGCTCCCCCCGTAGGTCACAGTGCGTTTCCATCATCCCCTCCTCTTGCAGGATCGTAAGAGCTGCGTCGTAACGCAAGCGCAAAGCAAGCGGCGATGCTGCAGCTGCCGCCTTCCGCAGCGCTTGTGATTGGAAAGGGAGTTACTCGCGCTAGCGGTAGGAACTCTCTCGTTCGATTAGAACACTTCTGCAAAGGTCACCGCCGCCGCGTGATTATGTGCAGCAAGTCTTTTGGCGCTGTCGCTCTCGATATTTCGTCATCGCGATTTGTCACGTTGACCCGAGAGTGGGAGTTTGCGCGTTCAGTCCGAGCAGGCCAACAAATTTTTTTTAAAAAATTCCGTTCGCTTTTAGTTGTGAGGATTCCAAGAAAGGGGGTATGGTGGTCGTTAACGTTAAAAACAAAAACAGTCGTTGCCTTATATTTAATGTATTGTCAGCTTTTGTGAGCATCCTGCCCCCACAGTGCGGTTAACTTAAGATTACAACTTTATTCAAATTTCGAAGGAAACAAATATTGGCGTTGCAAGATGTCCCTTGGCATCTGCTGCCCCAACACAAGTGTAACTGCGCAGACCCCAGAGATGGGCAACGCAAAGTTCGGAGTCCGAGGGCGCCACGGTGGCGAGATGTTAACTACCTCGCCTGGTATACAGGAGGTCGTGGGTTCAGTGCCTGCTGCTGTATATTTGCAGCTTGTAAGTTCTCCCCGTGGTCGCATCGACTTTTCTCCGGGTCCTCTGGTTTTTCCCCTCCACATTCAAAATCGACGTGCGTTTAGGGTATTTTGACTGCTATAAATTTCCACATGATCATAAGCCGCCACTGCGTTCAGCTGTCATCTGTGAAAGCCAAGTCTCTTTTGCGAAAAGAGCTCTACAGCTCAGTGGGCCTTACCTGGTAAACTAAAAAGATAGTTTATATTATAGTTATAAACTGGGTGCCGTTCAAAATATAATGTTGTAACTGCCCGATGAATTGCTACGCCCTTACCAACTAAGGACTCTGTGACTGTTAAACCGTGCGTGTACAGACCCTCCCTCGCATTCTTACCAAAGTCCGAATGTGACTGGCGCAGAAAATCCTTTTGCAGTGTTTCATCAAAGCCAGAATATCAGAATCAACATAATAATATTTACTTGCACTGGACTGGAGGAATCTGATGAGCTATGAAGCTCTTTTTCACAGATCAGAAAGTTGAAATAAACAACCGTACAAAAACACGATCGGAGTCCACAAAGTATAGGTAAGGTAAGCAAGTCGCAATTTTTGTTTACATTAAACTAAACTATATTTTTACCAGGCAAGGCCGACTGGGCAATTAGCTTCTTTTTCAGTACAGCTCAACGAAGCGGCTTAACGTCCGTGGCCACGCATTGCTTACACGCGAGCTGTTCCCCAAAGTTATTAAAACTCGGTGTGTGCAAAATGAACGAGGGTAACTATTGGAACAAAAAAATAACCCTGTTTGCTCTTGTGCAAGCCACTCTCTCAAATGGGGGGGGAGGGGGGGGCGTGCCGTATACATTCCCAACGGCCTCGCGTATTTAGCAAAATCGTTTCCCGTATTGTATCGGAGGTAAGTCTCTCGCAGGAAAGCCAGGTTATGTACGACTTGCCACCGTGGCGTTTTTTTTTTATCGCTCGCAGGTTAGAGAACCTGGCACGCAGTGTTCCCTCGTTGATTTCGCGAGGGATTCATTCCGGAGGTGCTCGTGAACAGCACTTTTTTTGCGGAGAAGCTTTCTTTCATCTGGCTGATGTAGATGGAGAGCAACAACTACATTTTACACATTGATAGTTCATAGTTCATTTATTTGGTATAGCCCCGTGAGCCATTCGGCTCTTGAATCGGGTGCAACCGCAACAAACAAAAACATGAACAAGAAAACATCTTAAAGTGACTACGTGTGACTGTGCAAACAGAAAAATCCAGGAAAAAAAGACATCAAAATATTCCTGAAATAGCACCGTACACCAACGCTGTGTGCAAAAATTGAAGGTGGTCATTAATGATATTGACTGATTAACCCCTATCTTCTTAATGAATTACCTTAAATAAAAACATAAATATGCTATTAATTACTGGAAAATTATCTCGTCACTTTATCTCATCACTTTCTCTCATCACTTTATCTCTCATCACTTTATCTCTCGTCACTTTATCTCTCTCATCACTTTATCTCTCGTCATTTTATCTGTCTTCACTTTATCTCTCATCACTTTATCTCTCATCACTTTATCTCTCGTCACTTTATCTCTCGTCGCTTTATCACTCATCACTTTATCTCTCATCACTTTATCTTTCATCTCTTTATCTCTCATCACTTTATCTCTCATCACTTTATCTCTCATCACTTTATCTCTCTCATCACTTTATCTCTCTCATCACTTTATCTCTCATCACTTTATCTCTCATCAATTTATCTCTCATCACTTTATCTGTCTTCACTTTATCTCTCATAACTTTATCTCTCATCACTTTACCTCTCATCACTTTATCTGTCTTCACTTTATCTGTCTTCACTTTATCTCTCATCACTTTATCTCTCGCCACTTTATCTCTCACAACTTTATCTCTCATCACTTTATCTCTCATCACTTTATCTCTCATCACTTTACCTCTCATCACTTTATCTCTCGCCACTTTATCTCTCACCACTTTATCTCTCATCACTTTATCTCTCACCACTTTATCTCTCACCACTTTTTTCTCTCATCACTTTGTCTCTCACCACTTTATCTCTCATCACTTTGTCTCTCTCGATGCAGTAGTCGTGTCGGAGTTCCAGATGCAATTTGCGGATAGCCAAAATCGCGGATAGCAAGTTCGTGAATAACAAGGGAATACTGCATTTTGCTCTATTTAAGGCCGAAACAGGATGACCTCTTCACAATTCTGACGAACCGCCCGATGAAGCTGGTTGTAATCACCAGAGAAACATCCCAGTACTCGAATTGTAGATGATGTGGGGTTTACTGTCCCAACACACACACCGGTGTGCCAAAGTGGGAACTAATTGACACGTTTTGTTCGCGTGGCAAACCGCTGTGTCGGGGGTGGTGGTGGTGGTGGGGTTTAACGACACGTTTTATATTTACCGCGATCTAAACCCCAACAGCAAAAAAGCCGAGGGAATACTGTGTTGTCGAACGGCTTAAGCGCTCACCACCCAGAGTGACGGCCAAGTCGGATGCCCGGGAGATTTATCACCCCGAGCGGAGCGCCCCCCTCATTTGAGCTGCTACAGCTTTTTGTTTGTCAAGGGTCGACAAAAGTTACCGTTTTTTTTTTTGTTAGTCAGTGCCAGCGTCCACATCTTTGGTCCTGACGTTCTCGCACGTAAGCTTTCGCGAGCGATATTACAGCGGCTCGTCGTCGATTTACGTTTGGGTTAAATCGTGCGGGTAATAATGCCGATGGTTCAGCTGGTACACCCCTCCGTCACCGGACGAAGCCGACGGAACAGATTTGTCGCGTTAGATGTTCGTGACTATGAATGGTAATTATTAGCCCTCCGGACGCTGGCATCAACTCACAAAAGTGAAGTTTTACAAAGTTACAAAACTACCTGCTTTAAAAAAAATAACCCAATTGAATGATACTATTATCTTAAACACAATTGTGTACATCCATGCTGGGTGGCCATGCCCAAAGTATAACTCGGGAGAAAAAAAAACATCCGCGTGGGATTTATTTTTCACTGTGGATAATTTTGCAGCGCATCTCTTCGTTAGGTCGAAGCGCGCTGACACATTTCGAAAGGGTTCTTTGAAACATTTCAAAAAAAATAGCTGCAAGATTTCAAAACATTTCATCCGTTTCGCTCGATGCGACTCTTTGTTTGAAGGGTCCCTTCTATCGTCTTGGTGATAATGAGCGTCGACAAAAACTGAAGTTTGTGGCTTGCGAGAGTAGTTACTCGTCAGCTTCGCTTGGGAAACATTTAGAAAAAGGTCAAAGCAGAGGCGGTCCCGAGAGTGGACGGCGAATCGGGGCGACCGCCCTTGCGCTTTGTTTGGCCCCGGGCCCCGTGCTTTGGGGGGCCCTGGGCCCCACGCTTTTGGGGGCCCCGGGCCCTGCGCTTTTGGGGGCTCCGCGCTTCTGCATCACGGTGTCAGATGTAATACTTCCGGTTTAGTTTGAAAGGGGTCGGGGCGGAAAGTGGGGGGCCCACACGGTGTGGCTTTTGGCCCGGGCCCCCTCCCTATGGACGGTCAAGCGACGATGCCCGTCTTGTTACGCACGCGGCTCGTTGACGAGTGTGCCCCCCTTCCATTCGACGGAAGGAGAAATGGCCACGGCACGGCCGCTAGTTTTTTTTTTTTAAAGGGAATCAAAACGGTCAATCAAGGCCTCTGGGGACTTTTTGTAAACGTAGGTTCTGTGAAAGAGCAGGAGGTTTCAAATAAACGTTACGGATTCAAAGCCCGCGAGACACCTTCCCAGTGTGAACGTCCCCAGCAACGTTGGTGCCGACGCGGCCGCAACCGTTGGGGGGAGGGGGGGGGGGGCGCGAGAGAACGTCGGCCAAACGTTTGGCAGCAACGTTGGGCCCAAAACGGCCGCACGCTTACTGGGCTGCTTCCAATCAAATTGAGACGACGTGGCCGTCGTGAACTAATTCTCGCGGCGTTCTTATCGCAACCAGCGACCGGTTCACAGCGCGCCCACTGCTGCTCGCAAAACTCAAAGTTGTAACTGTGGGCGGCAATTTGTATGGGGTTTTTTTTGGGGGGGCGGGGGCGGGGGGGGGGTCGGTAAACACAAATCCTCCTGCAAATTGTGATCCTAATGTTCTGGGGGGGGGGGGGGGGGTGGGGTGGCTTCTGAGAAAGTAGTTCCGCAAGGATTGCTTGCAACGGCTTCCACTTCAACGTGGACAGTTTCTGTTGTTGTTGATATTGTCGTTCGGTTGGCGAACGGCGACGCCGCACGTGTGAGGTGCCTGCCACTTCGTCGATGCCGTTTGAAAAAAAGCGTTGTAAATATTTCTGATCGCTGCAGTTTGGGGGGGGGGGGCTGGGGTTCGGAGGGGTGAAGGGAAATGAACTGTAAAGCTTAAAATGTAGAAGGAGGTATTGTGATTTGTGCTCCGACAGGAGGGGGAGTTGGTGGAAAGTACGTTTCGGATTGCAGGTCGCCGCCGTGGCTGGCCTATGCACACGTGTGCAGGTTATCGGCGTCGGTGTAAATTGTAAAAAAAAAAATTCAAAGGAGTTTTGCGGATTTGCAGTATTTTTTTCTGTTTTATTGTCGCGCGTGTTCACGATTTAAGATGTAGATTTATCATTCCCCGGACGCTCACTCTCTTTGCAAAGTTGTTGAAGAGAACGGTTTTTTAAAAATATTAATTATATATCAGCCTTTTGAAAATTATACGTAGCTTGTTTTTTTACGCGCGTTGAAAACTTCAAGCGATCACATGTTTGTCAATACAAAAGGCTCGCCCCCCTAACACGTTTAACTTGGTGTGTAAATACAATTTGCAACAAAAAAAACACAGGCTTGTAAAAAAAACTAGTGAAGGGTAGCACGGCGTTTTGCTGGTTTCTTTAGAGCTTTTTTTTATGCCGTCTCGATGTTATGAAGGAAATGTCAAAAGCCGATACAAATAACATTTGAATCGTACACGCAGGTGGTCCGAATGGCCCCTTGTTATGGCCGTGCGTGTGCGCGTTTGGTTGACCACTTGGTGGCTTTTGTTTGATCGTTGGTAAGGGGAGCACACGGCCGGATCCACGCGAGCGAGCGTTTCCAGCGCAGGCGCCAGACCACAAATGAGAGATCTCCCCCGTACAGCCTTTACCAGACTGTTGGGGGCAAGTGCGGTAAGCGAGTAGCACCTCACGAAGGCCGGCACGGCACACGGAAGGGGGAAGTTCGGTGGCCAGCACCACGCCCGGCCGCCGTTATCTCCCCCTTGCGGCGATGTTTACGGCACACCGCACCAGGTGCTCGTTCGAGGCTGAGTCGACCTAGGGGAGAGGCCGAGGACCGGTTCAGACAATCGTCTCACCGGTGTTGGTGGCGGTGAGCGGGAATCGCGCTCGGGTCACCGGGTTCGTAGCGCGGGCACCTCTTGATCCGTGTTCACCCCCCCCCG